GTATCTTTTCTCGTAAAAAAGACAATGAATGTATAAATAAAACTTGACAAAAAAACACTCTATTTAAACAGTTTTTCTTATTTGTTTGTTGTTGTTGTTGATGTTGTTTTTGTTTTTGGTTAATATAACTCTAAACTAACCTTTTATCGTTTTCTTTTTTCAATGAGGAATGTTTTCGATCAAAGAAGAGTACTACTCCAAGCTATAAATAAGAAACGTTTCCAACAAAATTTGAAAAAACTTCAGTCATTTGTAAAGTTTGGGCTACCTGTGTCGTAGGTTTATCCCCGAGATATTTGATCATTTCTGAACTTTGATCGTACGTAACCACACTATCCGTGCATGATATCGCGGGTTATTCTCAATTTCATTGAAGTTTGGATTACCTGTGCTATTAGTTTGTTAGTATTTGATCATGTACACTGTCTGAACTTTGATCATAACCACTACAGACCGGCGGATGCGGTAATGTTCACTCACTTGCTCCAGAAACCAACAATTGTAAGTCAGTGTTTATCAAATACTATATCGTGTTTTTATCAGTGCATTGTCATATATAACTACTGGAGTATATATTATTTCAAAATCGCTCGCTGTCTGGGATGGCGCCATCGAACGGCGATCTTGTCCAGCGACCATTGCCTGACCATGTGACTTGTTGTCCTTTTTTAACTTACAAAATTTAATGCATGCTGGGTTCACCTTGTTCATTGAAAATGGATACTAAATGGAGCCAATGGTTACCATAGATCATCAGTTTTTATTTCAAATCGAGRAAAACCCATGAGTCCTTTTGGTCGTGCAATTGCCGTTTGACAATTGACATTCGACTTTTTTTGCGACGACTTTTCTTGAAATGTAGTATCCACGAGTTCGCTTTACAGCGCGGCATTTTACATACAACAAACGAACGGCAATTAAACGAAGATTAAACGTAACTTACCAGGAAGATGGTGTTTAATCTGGATTGCTGCCAAGTCATCAGGAACAAGGACAAGTCACGTGACTCTGCAGTGCATGAAAACAGACAGAATTGCTTATGGTGCAATTCAGTGTCTCTGATAAGTGTCTTGGTAGCTTGATTGCTCAATCAAAGCCGCCAATGGCGAAACAACTCGAATATTGTTTAGCATATATGTTTAGCATGTATGCAACCCCAGACTTTGTTCAGAGATGGCCTAATAAAATATTATGCACCCATAACACCCTAAAATATGCTGCTATAAGAATATTTTATTCGTACATTGACAATGAATTATCAAAACTATGCGCCCATTAAGTGTATAAATGTAGAATGAATTTGCAGTGGACTAACATGTGATGACAAGATCTTTTTATAGTTTGGAGTGATGATTGTGAAAATTGCTAGTTTGAGGACTTATATCATCATTTGTCATTCTATATGTCAAACTGTCAGATCGTAATGGATTTTGGATTTATATCATCATGGGTCCTCGTTTTTAGGGTCTTCGGTCTTGGTCTTCCGGGTTTTCCAATTTTAACCAAGTTTTAAATATCACTTGTTTTCTGATTCATACATTTTGCGAGATTATCATAAATCGTAGCCCTGTCTTGTGATATGCCCGCATTGTTTCATTTGTATCACGTGATTCCTGTATTACCAATCACGTGCATCACATGATTGCGTTATGCTCTTTTTCATTTAATCACATGGGCGTGGTACTCACAGTAGTCGATAATAAATAAATAATGAACACATGATTTCGAATAGTTTCACCTGATGAAGGCTAGTATGCCGGCTCTCTACGTTGAGTTGGCGATAATTTTTAGTTATTGTTTACACTTTTCCGGGTCCATTTACTCTAGTCATTGTACTCCGATATCATATCGCCGCGGAATTGTTTGTTATTGTGGCTTGTTTCAGCCTTCAGTGTTTCGCAAGATAATTCAACCGCAAGTTGCGAAACTTTTTTGCAATGTCAATAACATTCAAGTATGCTATGGAGATTGAATATCATTCCCGGGGATTTAAAATTACATGTTGATGCAAATGGGTTGGTGCTTTATGGGTCTTTATGTCGTTTAAATAACTAAACAACTTTAATTGGATACGATTGACTATATGTTGGGCTCCACACATCCAAGAAAATCGATGTGGAAGCCATATTTCCGTTCTTTAACCATCCATCTTCCATTTCTTTTGTATCTCACTACTAATCGGCCTTATTGAACTGGCCAATCACAGCCTTCTTTTTATCGCGAGTGATGTCCATGGAAGTAATAAAATATTCATGGACCAAAGCGAACTGGTACATTTGGACCAGGAAAGTCTAAAATTCCATGGACGATCCTACATTCGTATAAAATCTTTGGAATGGAATGAATTATCAAAACTATGCGCCCATTAAGTGTATAAATGTAGAATGAATTTGCAGTGGACTAACATGTGATGACAAGATCTTTATAGTTTGGAGTGATGATTGTGAAAATTGCTAGTTTGAGGACTTATATCATCTTGGGTCCTCGTTTTTAAGGGTCTTCGGTCTTGGTCTTCTGAGTTTTCGTTAACCAATTTTTAAATATCACTTGTTTTCTGATTCATACATTTTGCAGGATTATCCTAAATCGTAGCCCTGTCTTGTGATATGCCCGCATTGTTTCTTTTGTATCACGTGATTCCTGTATTACCAATCACGTGTATCACATGATTGCGTTATGCTCTTTTTTCATTTAATCACATGGGCGTGGTACTCACAGTAGTCGATAATAAATAATGAACACATGATTTCGAATAGTTTCACCTGATGAAGGCTAGTATGCCGGCTCTCTACGTTGAGTTGGCGATAATTTTTAGTTATTGTTTACACTTTTCCGGGTCCATTTACTCTAGTCATTTTACTCCGATATCATATCGCCGATATCATATTGTTATTGTGGCTTGTTTCAGCCTTCAATGTTTCGCAAGATAATAATTCAACCGCAAGTTGCGAAACGTTTTTGCAATGTCAATAACATTCAAGTATGTTATGGAGATTAAATATCATTCCCGGGGATTTAAAATGACATGTTGATGCAAATGGGTTGGTGCTTTATGGGTCTTTATGTCGTTTAAATAACTAAACAACTTTAATTGGATAACCTTTAATTGGGCTCCACACTTTCAAGAAAATCGATGTGGACGCCATATTTCCGTTCTTTAACCATCCATCTTCCATTTCTTTTGTATCTCACTACTAATCGGCCTTATTGAACTGGCCAATCACAGCCTTCTTTTTATCGCGAGTGATGTCCATGGAAGTAATAAAATATTCATGGACCAAAGCGAACTGGTACATTTGGACCAGGAATGTCTAAAATTCCATGGATCCTAAATTCGTATAAAATCTTTGGAATGGAATGAATGATCACGTTCGGCTTGAAGCACGTTCGAGCCGGTATGAGAGCAAATACGTAGGAGACAGCGATGTGCCACGAAGCACGATCGACTGCGGTTACGTCATAGAGTCACGTGACACTAAGGGCAAACCCAAACAAAAAATACTGAGCCAATAAGTCGTGTATATAAAGCTTACTCACCGTCCTGTCAGTTCAAAGACTGGGGATTTGAGTTTAATTTACGAAGGAAAATTTGAATTAGTATTTATCAAGTTTTTTAGCTAWAATTTTAATCCGAACATATGGCGTCCTTTGGCTTAGACAAGAAGACAAAGATCCCTCCTCCACAACAGCTTCTTAAGCCATTATGGCCGCATCCAAAGATGCTTTTTGGGCCTGGACCTTCAAATCCAAACGCCCGTATCTACAATGCAGCRTCACTGCCAATGCTGGGTCATTTTCAGACGGAATTTCATCATATTTTAGACGAGATACAAGCAGGTCTTCGTTACGCTTTCCAAACTAARAATGTCTATACTCTCGTCTTCACTGGAGCCGGCCATACAGGAATGGAAGGCTCTATGATGAATATTCTAGAGCGAGGAGAGAGGATTTTGGTCTGTGAGAATGGCATGTGGGGTCTAAGAGCRCACAATATCGCTGAGAGACAAGGTAGGTTCTCAAGACTGTGTCCACGTGTAAAGAAATTATCAACCACGTTWCACTTTTACGTTGAATGAGTAACTTATCAATGCGGATTTTTAACCTTGCAAAATAAGACTTTATAATCGTTTAAACTATATATATGTGAAAGAGATTTCCTTTTTTCTCATTTTTAATAATGAAAGTTGATGCGCTAAAACCATCTGTGAAAAAATGAACGTTCTTTATGTCCGTTAATGATCGACATATGTAGAATAGTTCTCCTTACGTTGTCTGGTGTAGTTTKAAAGTAGTCTTCGTCATAGCTGAATTATTATTAGTTTTACTTTTTAAATTCATATAAAATRATATTTGAAAAGTCTTATTATTATGATGCATTCAAGCCAAAGGTGACTATTGTTTTGTWTTCAATTAAGTTGAAGCTAAGACCTCCTGCTATATTCCGTCTATAAAAACCTGACCGAATTCGTTATTCAAAGTTCCTGATTAATACGGTAAACCATTTGAATGCTAAGTGTATGCGAATTCCGTCTAGGAAACCATTTGAATGCTAATATACATGTARGCGGATTTCGTCTGAGAAGGCCATTGTGATGCTATGGTTGTCACGCAACAAAACAGGTTCCTACACCGGTTTTTTTACGGGTTTTTATCACGGAACTCTAAAAAAGATCTTTATAAATGATGTCCTACATGTTATTTATTTAAAAAAATTTCAATATTTTTGCAAATAAGTCAAAATGTAGTGTTGATTAGTTTACAATTGTACGTCTTGTATTACAAACCAATTTTTTCGATGTTGCAACCATATCATTTGTAAACCCGGCATTACAAGTACGTCAATACAAGTTTGTCGAGTTTGGCGGTAAGTTTATACTGTACATCACGGGCGTCTGCATTGATCATAACGGAGACGGKTAAAAATTAAATCATTTTTATAACTAATTTTTGTCGGCAATAGGAATATTATTGCTGTTATCAATAATTCTTAATAGAGTCTAACCACCTCCTTCGTGGGAAACTTTTTCCTTTTTGTAAAGAATTCTGCATTTAGTACAAACAGGAAACCCACCCAACAAAAAAGAGACTTCGGAAGAGGCTCTATAGCTCATTATTTTTCCTTTAATTCTTTATAATGATAATAGCGATTATTATTATCACAGATCATTATCATCATTATAAAATTTTTTTACATGCGCAGTAAAGTGCAAATAATATTACCTACAAGTACAAAATAATTAATTATACTTACAGACACATCTATCTTCAAGTTTTAATATTTTGACAGCATATACTTCTCATTCACGAAAGAATAACTGAATCAGAAGTTTTTGTCTTTAGGCCTTGATGTACGAGTCATRCAAAAAACRCCTGGAGAGGCATTCACCCTGGAAGACATTGAGAAAGGTCTCATTGAACACAAACCTGCAGCCATGTTCATAACACACAGTGAATCATCAACAGGCATTTGTCAACCAATGGATGGAATTGGACAGCTTTGTCACAAGTAAGACACTCATTTCTCTTCGTTTTCACMATACGTCACAGRGGCCATCTTGGATGAACTTCAACAAAGGATTTCTCATTAGTATCTATTGTTCATTCCTCCAACATGGCCGCCGGTCTTTTATCTTTTGAATCTCCTGGGAATGGTTGAAAACGAGCAATACTGTATAGTCTTCTTCATGATGGTTTCTTGTGTGCTATCGTTGAAGGTATTAGTAGCCTTGAGCTTAAAAATGACTGCTATACATACCTTGGAATAAATTGTTCAATGTTAAAGTCACTGCAAGGTCAACTATCATCTCCCTCCAATACAAAGTCACACCCCTAACACACGTGGTGCAGGTAGTTGTGAAGAAACTAAAGCACTAGTACCTATTATTAGTTGCCTTTATAAAACATGGAATCAGTTTTGCTCATAAGATACATCTAAATCTCTAAGTGCAGACTACAGTACCACAAGTTGTGCTGGTAGTTGTGAAGAAACTAAAGTACTATTTTCACTAAAGTACTATTTTCACTAAAGTACTATTTTCACTAAAGTACTATTTTCACTAAAGTACTATTTTCACTAAAGTACTATTTTCACCTTTTGGAAGATGAAAAAAACCAGGATTAGAGTTTTTCAGCTCCACAAGGATCCCTCCCTCAGTCACAATAAAATCCCTATTTGTTTCAAAATCAGTATTTATTCATTTCACTGCCCAATTATGAATCATATGGCATCAATTGACGTTGTCTACATGTTTTAGGTATGATTGCCTTGTGATTGCCGACACTGTAGCTTCCCTTGGAGGAACTCCATTCTTGACTGATGAATTAGAGCTGGATGTAGTCTACACAGGTTCACAAAAGTGCTTTGCTTGTCCTCCTGGGATATGTCCCATCACTTTCAGTCCAAGAGCAATGTGAGTGTTATGGCATTTTATTCAGGGACTCAGTTCCAGTGACAATAGACCTCTGCAGCTTTTACGTCATGTACCGTATACGCAATGCATTGTAGGACATGTTTGGGACAAAACATGGCTGATTTCTTTTGTTTTCTCTTGAAACTGATCCCACAATGCATTGAAAATCAAGTGATGACGTAAAAGGTTCAGAAGTCTATTATTCCAGATGAAATGCTAGTTAGAATTTTTACACATTATTCTAATGACAATCAAGTTAAGATGATTATGATTTTTAATTTAAAACAGAGAAAAAGTGAAGAACAGGAAGACTAAAGTWATGTCATTCTACCTGGACATACTTGAGCTTGGAAACTACTGGGGGTGCGATGGACAGTCAAGAAGGTAGGAGCCTTCATTTAAATAAAAAACATTATGGAGTAACTTCCTATAGACCCCTTGCATGTGACGTCACAGCAGCTTCATCTGGAGGACAAAACAAAAGATTTTTAACCTCTTGGGAACTAGAATCCATTGTTTTGTCCTCCAGTTGGAGCTGCATTCCCATGAACTGCAAGGGGTCTATTGGCACAGCGTGAATGCCCTTCATCTTCTTACTAGATATATACTAGATATATGTTAAATTCAGCCCTAAAAATGTTTATTCTAANTTCAAAATCAGTATTTATTCATTTCACTGCCCAATTATGAATCATATGGCATCATTGACGTTGTCTACATGTTTTAGGTATGATTGCCTTGTGATTGCTGACACTGTAGCTTCCCTTGGAGGAACTCCATTCTTGACTGATGAATTAGAGCTGGATGTAGTCTACACAGGTTCACAAAAGTGCTTTGCTTGTCCTCCTGGGATATGTCCCATCACTTTCAGTCCAAGAGCAATGTGAGTGTTATGGCATTTTATTCAGGGACTCAGTTTCAGTGACAATTATTCCAGATGAAATGCTAGTTAGAATTTTTACACATTATTCTAATGACAAGTTCAAGTTAAGATGATTATGATTTTTAATTTAAAACAGAGAAAAAGTGAAGAACAGGAAGACTAAAGTAATGTCATTCTACCTGGACATACTTGAGCTTGGAAACTACTGGGGGTGCGATGGACAGTCAAGAAGGTAGGAGCCTTCATTTAAATAAAAAACATTATGGAGTAACTTCCTATAGACCCCTTGCATGTGACGTCACAGCAGCTTCATCTGGAGGACAAAACAAAAGATTTTTAACCTCTTGGGAACTAGAATCCATTGTTTTGTCCTCCAGTTGGAGCTGCATTCCCATGAACTGCAAGGGGTCTATTGGCACAGCGTGAATGCCCTTCATCTTCTTACTAGATATATACTAGATATATGTTAAATTCAGCCCTAAAACTGTTTATTCTAATTTTTTTTCTTTGGTAATTCAGGTATCACCACACAGCKCCAATCAACCTTCTGTACACTCTTAGAGAAAGTCTTGCCATGCTTGTAGAAGAGGTAAACTTAAGTAATATGCAGTTACAGTAGCTGTTTAAAATCCATTACGATCTGATAGTTTGACATATAGAATGACAAAAACGAGTCCGAGGAAGGATAACATCGTAAAATCCAAAATTTGGATTATAAACGAGACGTTGTTCAACAATATTTCGGTTTAATTCAGAACCATAATCATGTTAATTATTAAATGAATCAATGTAATAATATTGACATTTGTATATGTAGGGTTTGGAGAATGCTTGGAAGAGACACCATGATAACATTGAATTGTTCTGGGAAGGACTTGAGAAAATGGGTCTAGAACTCTTTGTCAAAGACAAGGTGGGTAGTTGATATCATGGACCGCGGAGCAGGGGGGGCTGGGGGGCTACAGCCCCCCCAATAATTTTTCCGACATTTTGAATTTTCTTAAATAAAGAAGCGAAGAGCCTCCTTATGAAATTTAACCATATATATTCTATAAGAATTGTGTAAAAACTGAGCGTGAACAATTAAAATTCAAGCTTTTTGGGGATTTATTGAGAATATCGCTGACCGTGTGTGCAGTAAAAACTGATAACGCCTCAAAACGCTGGAAATGACATCTCCGAGAGTTAAGATTTCAAAAATTTCCGAACGTCCCTAATACCACCTCTTCGCCGCTAGCCCCCCCAAACAAATTTACGCTCCGCGGTCCTTGGATATTTCTCTATGCCAACTTGAAAGGCAACTCCAGACATTTATGAGAAAGCCCCAAAGCTCATCATWTTGTGAATGCTATCTGTTCATTTGTTCAGTTTATGAAGAACTGAGGAGTGGAGCTACCTGCAGTTTTCAAAACACCAATGAAATTGACCTTATGGGATTGAGATTTTGAATTAGGATTTGACTATTAACTTTGTATTCAAACAGACACATCGCCTGCCAACATTGACAACCATCAAGATTCCAGATGGCTACACAAACTGGCAGGGAGTTGGAAGCTATCTGATGGAAAAGTAAGTACAAYAGTTTTAGGTAGACTCAAACTGTAACTTAAGGTAATCCATTAATGTTGGGAGAGTAAATTCTTTAGTGGCATAATGCCTTCAATCTGCATTGCAACTTTCATTTGAGCGCAATTAAATCATTGTATCAACCACTAACTAAGGAGGAGGAGGATGTTACATTTACATAATATATGTTATAATTATTACTTTTTTATCATTTCAATTAATTTTTATATCATGTTGATATGTAGATACCATTTTGAAATTGTTGGTGGGATGGGACCAACTGTTGGAAAGGTAAACAAACAATAATAAATGTATTTTATAGTAATGTTCTTCCTTTGACTTTATATACTAAATACTCTTGCTCTGGTCAAAAACCATGTGATATGAAAGTACATGGATTATTGCACAGATGTCTACATTCAATCTTACCCATGGTCTGATTGGCCAGTACCAGAGCAATATATTGAAATTATGCGCATGGCATGTTTACCAATAATAATGCTAAATAAAATGCCAATTAATTGTGGTTATAAATATTTATTTATAACTTATTAATTAGCACTTATTTATACTAATAATACTATAAATGATAATCACTATTACTAATCACTCTCTATAATATAAGTATGACAAATAATATAAGTATGACAATTAAGTATTATATTAACATTAACAAAATATCTTAATAATAATATCCTAATATTAACAAAATATCTACCACTAATTACTGGACCAGATAAATGAAATATAAGTTAAGATACGATGCCGGATTGATAAGGGGGTATATTCTGCATTAGATTAGTATAAACATACTAATGGTCTATCACTCATACTGCGCTGTGATTGGCTACTCTACTAATGGTCTAATTTGTGATAGACCACTCGCAGGAAAATCAAAATGGCGGCATCTCATTAATAAATTTGTTTTCATTATTTGACCGATTAGTATGTTTATACTAAAACAATTAGACCTCTCGGCCTCGTGGACTACGAGCTAATAGCCCATTCGGCCTCGCGGACTCMGCCTCATGGGCTATTAGCTRGTAGTCCACTCGACCTRGAGGTCTAATTGTTAATTATTGTGTGGAGCTAARCTAATGCATGTTAAAAGCACAGTCTGCAATACTTAAGGTAAGCATGCACTAATAAGTTAAATTATTATAGCCTTCACGTTGTAATTGATTGTAACCACTGTATTTTAACATTTTAATACCAATGATTGTAACATTATGGTGAAGTAAACTTGCGGGCAAAGATTTGAATTATAAAGGAGTATACATTATGGTTCTTTTTAGTATAGAGGGTTTTAATGCCAGCGCAGTGTTTTAATTAATACGTACTGTATTTAATGCTTTATTAATTTAACTATTGATAATCACTGGGGAAAAAAGTTCACAATTTTAATAATGAATAATGCATTATAATAATTATTGTTATCTTAAAAATTGCACCTTAACAATAGCAAAGTATRATTTAATTAATAATAAAGTGTTTTACACATAATAAATTAACAATTTGAGGATTATTAAAAAAACATTTTTAAAAACAAATAATTCCATGATGAAAATTTTGATATTATTAGTTTTATAAAGACTAGTAAGTGTAAAACAACTAGTAAGATATACATACTAGCAATACCTGTTTTAATCTTGTGTAACTGGTTTGCTGTAGGTGTGGCGCATTGGCCTCATGGGTCTGAATAGTCGCAAGGAAAACATTCCTAACGTACTTCGACTCTTTGAAGAGGCATACAAAGAAAACAAGTGAACTTATAACTAAGAACAATTTTTTGTCTTTCTGTATGTTCAAATAACATGGAGAATGGTCACACAAATTTCAGAATGTCTAATTATGGTTTCTAATGGCTTATTATGATTACTTTTAAAATTAATATGTTGCATTTAGTGGTCTTAAATCAATACAAAATGTTACTGAATGAAACTTCGCAGTTTTGTGTAGGTAGAATAATTGTATACAACACATTGTATTGATAATTATCACTATCAACATTATAATTATTTGTACTGACTATTAATGACTATTTATTGGTGTAATTAAGTTTATTTTTATGGTTCATGATGTATTTTTTTTTATATTTTATTATGTGGTATATTACAAAAATTTTTCATTAAGTTATGTATAAAACTCAACCTATACATGTAACACACACACGTGGCTACACCTTTATGTGTATAATAATAATTATTTAAAAATGATTATTATTGGAAATATGGCTAAATTTTTTTTAGATTAGTCTAACTTGATGTATTGAGGAGTATCACTCACTGTAAGTAATATTTTAAAACACATGGGAATTAGGTATCTTTTAACTAAATATTATTGTAAATTGTGAATTATAATAAAATCATGCAGGAATGGCTGATAGTAGTTTGTGTCTTATTATTAAACCATGTGTAAGGAGTCAGGCTTTGGAATTCAGGACAAAGTCATTTACATGTAGCTCCATTTTAAGCTTATATGTAACTTTAATTCTAATTAAGATACAAGTTCAAACTTCTGCAATCTTTATTATTCATTTTTTAGTGGTTCAACAGTTAATATTAATGATTAAATAATGTATTTATCGACACACTATAAAAAGATAGAAAACTTACTGAATATTGGCCCTGTATCACAGACCAGTTAACACATAATTTTTCTATCTTTTATAGTTCAGTCTAGTATACCGYTATATTATCATTTTATCACATACCATGTAAGCTAATTATGGTGATCATCTAAGGTATCAAATAGATTTTTCATGTCAGTCATAATAATAATAATAATGTTATTAGTACTATTAATGTTTCATTAATGATTAATTGGCATAAAACGACAAGAAACGATATTCAATGAGTTCTTTGTTTAAAGGTTGTGTGATTTGTTTCATAATTTTTAGGTATGGAGAATTGGTTTTATGGGAATCCACAACAGCCAAAGGGATAACGTGTTTTTAGCCCTACGCATGCTGAAAGAAGGTCTAGATCACTGTGCTAAAACACCTGCAAGACTGTAAATAAACTGACAATAATAATTCAATCTAAATTATGTGACATCAAAATTATATTTATCATAATTACTATTCATTTATTCATTTTTTTGACATCTAAATGATTGGTATGTTGAAATAATATTAATTAAATTTCTCTATTTTAACAACGTCTCATTTATTGTTCTTTATAACACAAACTACTAAACTATTTATTTTCTTGCTTTTGACAAATCATATAAATTTAGCTGCACACTGCATCTGTCGCTTACACAATATGATTCCATTCTGTTTCATAGTTCTTAATGCCATCTTGAAAGATAACAATTCTGTACCTTTGCATGAAATGAGCTCTCAATGATAGATTCATGTCAATAAAAAACTCTGTATAGGTATGGCATGTTTCTATTAAATGAATGCACAGTCACAAGTTGTTTTGCTTTGATGCAAATTCATGCTTATTTTTTCAAGATGGTGGGAGGAACTGAGAAGGGGTCCTTTTCTCTTTCATTTTGCAGTCTTGCTAAGGCAAACAATCCTTTTAAATTATGAATATTAACAAATTTAAAGTTATCAAACGTGAAACATTCTATTGTATTTTTATCGAATTAGTCCTCCTAAACAAGCTAAAATCAGCTTTTTAAACGTTCAACTTTGCCATTTTTACCCAAGACAATTTTCCCACTTGCCAGCATTTCCATGGCTCTTGGGTAAGCACGGTGCTCTGCTGTCTTTACACGTTCTTGGAGGGTTTCAATTGTATCACCAGAAAGAACAGGAACTGCTTCTTGAGTNAAGAATTACCTTTGTTGGTATCCCAACATTTTGTGCTCTTTCAAGTCCCTTAACACCAGGCTTGTTACTAACAACCAGTACAATATCTGAACTACTGTCATGCCGCAGACTCCTGTCAATCAACGCCTGGAGGTTTGTCCCTGAGCCAGAGATTAAAACTCCGATACGTTTCTTGTTTTTAATGTCCCCATTGCTCACTTTAAGTTTCTTAAACCCCATATTGACAGCTTTGAAACTTGTAACATTGACGTCAACTGATGCTCGATCAAGAGCTTCTTCTAGGTTTTCTATAGTGACTCTGTTTTCTGGGTTTGTATTTTCTGTAACCTGGGGAATATGGAAGTTAAGATTTAAATACAGTTTCAGTTTCAGTTTATTCAAATTCAATTACATATTACAATTACATATATACCTGCAAATAGCATATAGCTAGTCTAGGCAGGTAAATTATATATTACATTAAAAACATTATTTAAATATTAAATATATTGATTTGACATATACACATACACATACATTTGACATATACACATACACATAGATCATAGAATAGATAAAATAGAGATGAAAGAAAACAGAAAAGATCTAAACCAACCTTTCCAATGATCCAGGCTTTCTCCCCAGCTGTCTTCAAAGCGTCCAAAACATGGCTACTATCGGCACTGTTAACTACCAACACTGCACCAATACCACAGTTAAATGTCCTGCTCATCTCACGCTGAGATATACTTCCTTGCCGAGATATCCATGCAAACACAGGGTTAACATCCCAYGTATTAGCATCAATGCAAACATTACAATTATCTGGTAAAACACGAGGGATATTTTCTAGTAGTCCACCACCTAAAGAATAACAGAGAATAAAGTTTTGAGAGTGCAATATGAACGAATTTAATCTTTGAAAATTATACACAATCAAAATAGCAAAGATTTGCAACAACTTTGTAACTGAAGTGGACATCCTTTGAATGAGTCTTGCTCTTTGACTGTATGAACATGATTTAGCTGTTTGATTAGTGCATTTAAAGCATTTTATTAAAAGTGTTTTAAATATATAATATGGTAGAGTGAAGTCAATAAAACCCATGAAACAAACCTTGACTATTAAAGTGTGATAATCAAAAAGAAAAACAAAAGACAAAAAAATGAAATTAGAGTTACTAAAGGTGTCTTGTAGCATGATATCTACAGTATTTCATGGGTTTTTGAGTCCACAAACTACTCTAATGAGTCCACCTTCTTTACTCTAACCTGTTATATGTGCAAACCCTTTAACCATGTTGTCTTTCATAAGTGGTAACACAGCCTTGCAGTATATTTGTGTTGGAYCCAACAAAGCTTCACCCAAAGTAGTCACAGACTGAAGACCATCTGTAATCTTGAATGGAGAAGGTGAATTCATGTCCAAGCCYCWACTGTCAACAATCTTACGAACYAGACTATACCCATTGCTATGGATACCAGATGAAGCAAGCCCTATAACATKATCCCCTGGTTGAATTGACTGTCTCCYTGGCAACYTATTAGTTCTCTCCACTGCYCCAACTGCAAATCCAGCAAGATCATAGTCGCCAGGTTTGTACATTCCTGGCATTTCTGCTGTTTCACCTGARAWATAATCACAAGAATAAACTTTAATCTCACAYACTTGGAGTATAAATTATTAGCAGTTCACATACGTACCTCCAATGAGTGCACACCCTGCTTGTAGACACCCTTTAGTTATACCACTAATAACTTCCCTGGCCACACCCACATCAAGTTTTCCGCAGGCAAAGTAATCAAGGAAATAAAGTGGCTCTGCACCGTGTGCTAATATGTCATTCACACACATAGCAACCAGGTCAATACCAATAGTGCCATGGCAACCAGTAATTTGTGCAATCTAGAAGTGAACCAATTGTTATTTTTATAAATTTTACTCATTTTACTTACTTTTATGTTTTTTTTGCAGAGGCATAAAGGGCTCACATTTTTAGAGGTATTTAGATTCTGTTAACTGTTTCCTAACAAGAACTCACAAAATAAGTATATTTCAGTCTGTTTCTGTTAAAGTGCTACTTGCATGAAAATGGCCTTATTTCAAAACTTCAAGCAATACAAATATATGACTCATTTATATCTATTAAAAACAATTGCGGGAAAATATTTGTCTTGGAATTATCCAACATCAGAGAAATTTTGTTTCAAAAGATGGAAGAACAAAAGGATTGAGTAAATGARGTCATCTACTCCAACATTTTTTGCCCAAATTATTAAGGATTTGCATCAATATTTTCTTGAAATCTGTTGCTTCGTGATTATTACACCCATATTGATAGGCCTATTTGATTTGCAAGTCTTTTCTATGTTTTGCAATTTTCGTCCAAGTAGCCCTTTAACATGAGAACACACCACACCTTTAACTTTGTGCCCACTCCATCTGTCCCGCTAACTAACAAAGGATCTTTGTATCCAGCAGCTTTGAGATCAAAACAGCCACCAAACCCACCAAGGTCTGCATTACAACCATTGCGAGATGTCYAGGCAGCCAGAGGCTTGATAGACTGTACTAGCGCATTACCAGCATCAATGTTGACTCCTGATGACTTGTAAGTTAAACTAGTAGACCTGAAACATTACATGCACTTCAATTTAGCTGTAATGATAAACTGGCACAGAGCCAGTTTAATATGTGAGAGGTCAGAGTTCTACTCGGGATTCTTTTAAGATTTTTTTAACATACAATTTGAATTATCTTAAAAGATAATTGTGAGTAGAAATTGTCTTTGGTTGCATTTTTATAGCCATGTATAAATACACAAAAAGTAAAGATTAAAATATTGTTGCCATACTTGCATGCTTTGAGAGCGATATCCTTTCGATACTGAACTCCATCGAAGCAAATATTCAGCACATCTTTATACACCTCCTGCTGGGCTTCAATTACAGATTTTCCAACACTGACGACAGCCAAGACACGTCCTCCAGAGGTAACGACTTCCTGGCCACTTACTGCTGTACCAGCATGAAACACAAGACTTTCTTTGCCATCCTGATGACAGAAAACAGTGATTTTGAAAATATATATACCTGGTCTCCTTGACATTCCCCTTTTGGTAATCTCTGTGTTACTGATTACAAAGTGAGCAACACTCTATTGAAAGCCAAGAAGTTATCAAAACAGCAAATTCTAAGATATCAAATAAAAATAAATAATTATTATTACCTCATTTGAATCCAATCCATGTATAGTAAAACCTTTCTTATAAGAAGCTGGATAACCTTGGCTTGCAAGTACTACAGCAACAGCTGACTTATCTTGATAAAATTGAGGCATTGATGATTCCAGCTCACCACTGACACACTCCATCATGACAGCATAAAGGTCACTCCTCATCAAGGGCATCAAAACTTGGGTTTCTGCTCAAAGAATCAAAGAAACTTTGGATTTAAAAATCATAGAGGATGGATGGCTCACACTTTGACAGAAGGCGATTGAATCGCATACTTATGTTATGCTTGTGAAAAGGAGAAACAAGTTCTTAAACTGCTTATGTTTTMACTACAAAATGGCAATCTTACTGAGTATTAATCATAACATACCTGGATCTCCAAATCTACAGTTATATTCTAAAACCTTAGGTCCKTCACTTGTCATCATAATACCAGCATACAAAACACCAATGTAGGGAAATCCTTCTGCTCTCATACCATCGACTGCCTTCTGAAGAATGTCAGTTCTTACCACATRYATGAGCTCATTTGAAACTTGTGGGCARGGCGCATAGGCTCCCATGCCCCCAGTGTTTGGACCTTTGTCGCCATCAAGGAGTCTTTTGTGATCTTGTGCAGGAGGCATAACAGCAACTGTTTTACTATCAGTGAATGCCAGAACCTACAACACACYATGAAAAAGTGTACTTTGGAAATATAGCTCAAGGATTGGAGAACATAGATAACTTACTGATAGATACCAAATTATGTGAAAATGTACCTTTCGTTAGACTAAGTAATTTATGAGCAAAATGAATTACCAGACATTCCTTGACAAAGAAATTTCATGCCATTTTCCTCCCTCTACCAAAAACGCCTACCCATGTGGCTAAACGCAGCTATGTGATAACAAATCAACACAACATAAAATTCTCTAAGAATGTTGTCAACTCACAGAAAATTCTTCTCCTTCTAGTAACTCCTCAATGACAATAGTGCTTCCAGCCTCACCAAAGGCATTTTTCTGTTTCCAAATGACAAAGTTTAATAATGTTAGTATTGAGTAAATGAATGAATGAGAATAAAAGAAATGATTTTATTTTATTTTATTTATTTTTTTATTTTTTTATTTTTTTATTTTTTTTATTTTTATTTTTGGGAATACTTCAAAGTGGACGTGACCATCTGTAAGGTTACCATATCCGGGGCACACTAGGCGGCGTGTTATGGCTGTCAAATAAGATGTAAGCTTACCTTCAACATGTCTTGCACTGCCTCCTCTGCTTCAAGTTTGTCTTTAGCAACTATAACTCCTTTCCCTGCCGCGAGACCACTTGCTTTAACTACCAAAGCAGGATAATCAGCATTTCTTATATGTTCAATTGCTTTATCAAAGTTTGTAAAGTTTTCAAATCTCGCAGTAGGTATGTCATGACGTTTCATAAAGTCCTTCGCGAAAGATTTACTAGATTCGATCCTCGCYGCTTCCTTACTAGGCCCAAAGCACATTATATTAGCTTGTTGTAGTGAATCAGAAATGCCATTAGCAAGAGGAGCCTCCGGGCCAACAACTACGAAGTCAATTTGGTTTTCCTGACAAAATTTTACAACATCCTCATTTTGGGACGAGTTTAGGTCTGAAGAAGGTACATTTGTGACTTTTGTAATGGKTTGTGTCCCAGCATTTCCTGGTGCTACGAAGATACGTGAAACGTGGTTTGATTGGGCTAACTTCCATGCTAAAGCATGTTCTCTGCCTCCACTACCGATTAGCAAGACGCTATCCGCCATGTTCTCCCCTTACAAAGTGACACACGTGCAAGACGGCTTTTGGAACAAGGGAGGGGAGGTAGGGGACTTTTTCAATTGGACTTCGATTCCAGGTCCCGGTCATTCCCCAAAAAATCCCAGCAGAAAAGAGTGTTTTTATTTGTTTTTATTATTTGTTCTTTCTAACTATAAACTTACATTGATATTTCTTTTATCAACATTGAATAATTACAGAAGATCGTAATGGGTGGGCTGCTCGCTGGCCGCACTAAATCAAAAATACAGAAATTAGCATAAATTAGTATAATTTAGTACTTAACTTAGAACTATCCAGTTAACGACTTTTGCCTTTTGCACTATAAACAAAGTATAAACTCTTTCTTTTTGTGCACTTTGTCCCGAAAATGACACTTAATCTAGTCGAACTAGCCAGGCATGTCATAACGGAGCGCAATTGCCACTGCAGGCTCTTCAGAACATACAGAGTTGTCAAACATGGAGACCGAAGACGACATCGAACATTGGCAAAAGGTATTGAATCAAGTCTTAACGACACTAGCAGGTTCATTGTCGATATGTGGAACAATCATAATCTTCGTTACATTCGCATTATGGGAAGACATTCGTACAACTTCAAGAAAAATCCTTGTTTTCATTTCTATCGGTGACCTTATTACTGCAATGGTCAGCGTTTCAGGCATCTCGATTGACTGGACTGGAAAAAATTGGGAACCTTTCTGCAAAGTCCAATCTTTCTTAAACATTACTGGCATTTTAATATCGTTCTTTTGGACTGTGTATCTGTCTATCTTTTTGTATTTGTTTATACGTGGATTGCCCAGAGAAACGGAGAGAAAAATCATGTTTGTGTTTCATGTCACTGCGTGGGGCATACCTTTGATTGTTGCTATATCTGCTGCAAGCGTCGGCAACGTTTTTGGTCATAACGTTATATCCAATGGTTGGTGTTGGATTTCTCAGAAAGATCTTTCAAGCCATGGCCACTTGTTATTATTCTGGATGTTTTTCGCCGGCAAGGGATGGGAAATTCTCGCATATATTGCCATCCCTATATTTTATATCAAAGCCAAGATTGTTTTGAAACGAAAGGTAAATATAAGTTTATAACACTAATATTTTGTTGATATTTAAGCATATTTTTGTGTCTATTTYTTTGTGTAATCTTTTAGGTGTCTGCTCAGCAAAAGCTGTTGGAAATGCAACCACTATTCATTCATTTCTCCTTCCATCCATTCATTTACCCAGTTCTAAATGTGTTTTATGTAATTTGTTATAGATGCATGCGAATTCCTCCACACCTATCCTCACTACAGAATCCTTATTAGCAGCTCGTAAAGCTGACCGTAAATTCTCTATGATACCTCTCATTTTCATCATGCTGCGAATGTGGGGAACTCTGCGATTCTTCTTCTACATTGCCTGTTTTCCTGAATGTCAAAATTCAGGACCAACAAATCTTGACCCAAAAGTTGACTTCTGGCTCAAAGTTTTTCATGTACGTAAGTCAYGAGAATTTGCTTGTTGTGCCCTGTGTAAAAAGAATTGCTGCTATGTTTACCAGCTGTAAAAAGAGGAAGCCTCCATACCAGCAAACAAACATTCAACCAAGATCCATTGTACATTGTAGAAATCTCCCATTCTCTCTCTTTTTAGTAGAAATAGTAGAAAAAATGGTACAAATGTTTTTTGTTGGAAAGTTCCTTTTGTAGGAAATGACCCCTTGGGATAATGTCCCTATTGTAATTAATTTGTAATTTTTTGATGTCCCTCTTCATAATTTTCGCAGTACAAAACCATATCATTTTAAAATTAAATGTGCTGTCACAAAATTGATCAATAACATCATGACTGTATTTTTTTCATCTACAGGGAATTGGAGACAGTAGCCAAGGCTTTGCAAATTTCTTAATTTTTTGTTTATTTACGGACAAGATTCGCTGCAAAATAAAGCTTTGGTGCTGCAGAGTTTGTCCATGGGTAACAACTCGCATTGCTGGCAACAATTACAACAGTACTAATGCTACCACTTTGGATGATTGTAGACCATTTGTAAATGGGACTATTTCACAGTGACATTTATGACTTTTAGTAACATATCAAAACTTTCAGTCTTCAAAATAATGTTTTAGAAGTGTATTTTTGTAGAAAAAAGGTGTGGAAACTAAGCGAATGTAAAAATATGTAAACATAAAATTTTCAAAACTTGCAAAAATCTTGTACAATTTCTGCTATTTAAATGAAAAATAATAAAATCTTTAATGGCTGTTTAACCAAATTGATATATTGTTTTATAAGGGAAAGAACAGAGGGGTGGAAATGAAACATGTAATGTTGGGATATTCAAACTTTCTCATCTTCGCTATTCTTTAAATATTTTCAGATATGAGGTACGTCGAGTCACATGTAGTGACGTAATGTATTTATCCAATGAAGGCAGCCCAATCATAAATTTAAACGGCAGGTGACCCAGGATCAGATTGGATGAGCTTTATATGTAAAAAATATGGCGCGTATTTAGCGTTAAGAGACATTTATATGAGCGTGCGTTAATCAGGCCATCTTAGCGCTACGGTTTAAAAGCTCTTTTGTTCTCTGGTATATGTTTGTAATGTATAAACATAGAAAAATAATACATGGTTTGAATGGTTGGGTGTACTGTGCCTTAACCCTTCGCAGCCTTTGATCTATTCTACCCGGCATGCCCGTGTCGCACGGTCTTTATGCAGAGCTGTCAAACATGGCAACCCAAAGCAATGATACAGACTGGGGAAGTTCGGGAAGGGAGGTAAACCAAGTCTTATCAACAGTGGCAGGCTCATTATCAATATTTGGAACAATCATGATCTTTATTACATTTGCATTATGGAAAGACATGCGAACAACTTCGAGAAAAATCCTTGTTTTCATTTCTATCGGTGACCTCTTCACTGCAATGGTCAACGTTTCAGGGGTCTCGATGTCTTCGACGACGGGAATACTTGACATGACTTTTTGCAAAATCCAATCTTTTGTCAACATTGCCGCTATTCTGTCCTCGTTCTTTTGGACTGTGTATTTGTCAATCTTTCTGTATCTGTCATTATGTGGATTACGAAGAGAACGCGAGAAGAAAGTCATGTTCGTGTTTCATGTCACCGCATGGGGCATACCTTTGATTGTTGCTCTATCTGCTGCAAGTGTTGGCAACGCTTTTGGTCAAACCAGTATATCAGATGGCTGGTGCTGGATTTCTCGTAATCTTTCAAGCAATTTGTTATTATTCTGGATGTTTTTTGCCGGCAAGGGATGGGAAATTCTTTCCTACCTTGCTATTACTATATTTTATATCAAAGCCAAGATTGTTTTGAAACGAAAGGTAAAGCTTTGTTGATGCATGTCGTGGGTGGAGGGTCACGCATTAAGTGCGTAATTAATAAAACTTTGCAGAATCTAAAAAAATACTTGAATTTGGTTTCAATTAAATCATCTTAGAGGTGGAATAAAATGCAATAACTCCTTTTAAGGCTGATTGTTTTCGTTCCCAAAGCGGAAATAATGACCGGAGCACCTAAAACGGAAATAATGTCCGTAGCACCTTTGATATTGACCTGTGCGTGCTTGTAAGGATGGCCGCAATACGCCCGTGCATATTTTTATTTTTCTGTTTGTTGTTAAACCTTAATATGTGTGTTGATTTGATTACAAGTGAATTTGTTTTCATTTATTTCACCATTCATTTTTCCTTCCAAGCATCCATTTATTAGTTCTTCCCATTCATTTCATCCATCTTTAGTCCATACATCCATTCCCATCCATCCATTCAATACCCATCCATTCACTTCATTTATTTATCTTAATAAAATTCTGAATGTGTTGTATGTAATTTATTCAGATGTGTTCAAGTTCCTCCACACCTTTTCTTACCACAGCATCTTTAGTAGCAGCTCGTAAAGCGGACCGTAAATTTACCATGGTTCCCATCATCTTCATACTGTTGAGAATGTGGGGGACTATACGATTCATAAGCTATGTTGTCTGTTTGCCCGAATGTAAAAAAACAGGCCCAAATCTAAACCCACACATTGAATTCTTGCTCAGAATTCTCCATGTAAGTGCTCCTTGTAGAAATTGATTTTAAGAACTTGCTTTGGGGGAATGTCCCTTSGGGGAAATGTCCCATATATCCATTTTAAATACCATATAATGTCCCTCTGCAATATTGTACCAGTGCAAAACTGTACCATTGTAAAATGCACCAAATTACAGAAATGTGACCAGTTTAACACTGTAATTTTATTTTTCAATCTACAGGGAGTTGGTGACAGTAGCCAAGGCTTTGCAAATTTCATAATTTTCCAATCTCCCATTCTCTCTCTTTTTAGTAGAAATAGTAGAAAAATAGTACAAATGTTTTTTGTTGGAAAAATCATTTTAAAATTAAATGTGCTGTCACAAAATTGATCAATAACATCATGACTGTATTTTTTTCATCTACAGGGAGTTGGTGACAGTAGCCAAGGCTTTGCAAATTTCATAATTTTTTGTCTATTTACCGACAAGATTCACTACAAAATAAAGCTTTGGTGCAGCAGAGTTTGTCCATTTGTAAAAACTCACATTGCTGACGACAAGTATAATAACTATGAAAGCTACAGTGCTTTGGATGATTCAATCAATCACCCAGCTAGTAAATGAGCAATTTTATTATATGGTCACAATCAYATTTCCTTTTATAATTATTTCAATGCTTGAAAAGGAGGYGCCATGAGCACTTTGTGACCCCACCWTAATACMCCCCAAGTCCCAAGTTGTCCTRTTTACTTGCAAATCATTATGGAAAGTTCCAAAGAATCTACAAAGGGGAGAGGACAATTTGGGGTTGGGACWYRARWTRRKCASYMGWYKA